ACCTCTGTCTCCTGGGTTCAAGCGATTCTCCTGCTTCACCCTCCTGAGTATCTGGGATTACAGGTGTGTGCCACCACGCCTGGCTAATTTTGTATTTTTAGTAGAGACAGGGTTTCACCACGTTGGCCAGGCTGGTCTCGAACTCTTGACCTCAAGTGATCCACCCGCCTTGGCCTCCCAAAGTGCTGGGATTACAGGTGCGAGCCACTGTGCCCGGTCGAGAATCTATGTTTTTCACTCATAGTTTGGGATTGTTCTTGCAGTTGAATACCTCTGAAATAATAATCAATGAATATTTCATTCAATAAATATTTACTGTCCCCTTCCGTGTACCAGTCTCCTGAGTTGTCTTAGGATAATAATTATTATCCTAAATCATTCCATTACTTCTTAGATATTTAGCATTCCAACAAACAGAAAACAAGCTCTCTCCTCTCCCTTCCCAAGGATTTATGTCTTTCATCTCCTCCTTGGCCATCCAGGTTTCCACCTCGGAGTTGGCTTTATAGCTACTGGAGCCTTTCTGAACCCATCTGTTGGGATACTGAGTCACTGAGTCATAAAGAGGAATGTTTCCCACTAAACATCACACCAGAACAGATAGACTTCCAGCTGAGCCAGCTGGTGACCTGGCCGCCCCTGAGTGGAGAGAATGGGAGACATGGGAGGTGGGAGGCACACCACGCAGACGGTCACCTCATGGTGACGTCACCTGCCAAACCAGTGACTCACCTCCCAATTCTCCACTCTACCAGCCATATCTTGTTCACTTGGAATACCTGAGGGGAATACCAGCCTCCTGTGTTTAGTGAAAACACACACTCGTGAGCTAGTTTTTAAAGGCATGGTGTTTTCTTGCTTTCAAGTGCAGGCCTGAGTTAAGGCTGCTTCTGCTTTAATAAGTACCCAGGAGTCTCCTTTTAAAGAAAGAGTTGGATGAGAATGGGGCTTGCTATGTGGGTTACTTTTTTTTTTCTTAAAATTTTTCATTGTAGTAAAATATACATAACACAAAATTTACCATTTTAACTTTTTTTTTTTTTTTTTTTTGGAGACAATTTCCTCTCTGTTACCTAAGCTAGAGTGCAGTGGTATGATCACTGTTTATTACAGCCTCACCCTCTAGGGCTCAATCAATTCTCCCACCTCAGCCTCCCACGAAGCTGGGACTACAGGCATCTGCCACCACACCCAGCTATTTTTTTTTTTTATTTTTTGGAGAGTTGGGATTTCACTATGCTGCTCAGGCTGGTCTCGAACTCCCGGGCTCAAGTGATCCACCCATCTCAGCCTCCCAAAATCCTGGGATTACAGGGATGAGCCACCTTTTAACCACTTTTAAGTGCACAATTCAGAGGCATTAAGTACATTCACAATGTTGTGCAACCATCACTACCCATTCCTAGAGCTTGTTCATCATCCCTTCAATTCATCATCAATTAAATTGTTCATTGAATTCTAATCAAATGAGAACTCCCCATTTCTCTCTCCCTCCAGCCCCGGCACCTCTACTCTACTTCTGTATCTATAAATTTGTCTATTCTAGGTATCCCATATAAGTGGAATCATACAATACTGTCCTTTTGTGTCTGACATATTTTACTTAGTATCATGCCTTCAATGTTCATCCATATTGTAGCACTCACCAGAATTTCATTCCTTTTTAAGGCTGAATATTTCATTGTACGTACATACTACATTTCGTTTATCCATTCATTTGTTGTTTTCACATCTTAGCTATTGTGGGTAGTTTACTTTTGAGTCCCTAAAGATCATTTTTTCTCTTTAGTAGTTAGAAATTCTTCTTTAGAAAGCTTCTCAGAGTTCACCTGCAGACTGGGACTAAGATGGCCAGTTCTAATGACTTCTCAGGGGGACTGTGAAGATAAAGTTAACTCCTGGGTAGCAAAGTGCTTTATACATTCTAAAATGTGTCTACCGCCATACCACCCTGAACACACCCTAGCTCTTCTAAATTCTAAAATGCCCCACAAAAATGTTTTTACTTTGTTTGTACTATTTGCTTAGCTTTTCCCCGCAAGCAGGAAAACACACACACATACACACATACACACACACACACACACACACACACAAACACGACCCTAGGCTCCTTTCAAATTATAGTAAAATCTAGATGGAAATGGTCCAAATGAATGAGGTTTTCCCGGGATGTTTGTATACACTGCAGTCTCTCCATTCTTTCCAAAGCAGAGTACAAGTGTATTAAGTGTTAACATGGACCAGGACACTATTCTGTTAATTACTAAGCATTAATTTACTAGCTTTGGGACATGGATGAGTTACTTCACCTCTGTGCCTCAGTCTCTTCATCTGCGAAGGAGGGACCAAAGTGATAGAACTGACCTCATAGAGTTGTATTAAATGAGGTAATAATGGTAGTGGGTTTGGCACAGTGTTCGGCATACCTCAATGTAGGCCTCAACGCTAGTTGCATTGATGTTATCACGTGTTTCTTATTTGGAATTACTTTTATCCTCATCTCACATTATTAACACATAATTGAAGATTAAATGCACGGTCTTAAAATGCAGTAAAAATGCATCAATTCCAAAGAAGAAGGGCCCTGTCTGCCATGTTAATTGATGTTCTGCAAGGCTGCCTGGTAATGGTAAAGACTTCTAGTTTAGGACTCAGATTTGATTTTACTTCCCAGCTGATCTCACATTAACTGGGTATTCTACTCTGTAAAATGTGGATAACACCTACCTCATAAGGTTGTGTTTAAGCCACAAGTTCATGCCTGTGCAGCTTTGCAAGACTTAATATATGCTGGCTAGCACTGTTATTATCCTTCTCTGTCTCTTCACCTGGCACACTCGGGGTGCTCAGGAAATACTTGCCAAAATTAATTAAAACAAACATTGCAGCCAGGTGTGGTGGGTCACACCTGTAATCCCAGCACTTTGAGAGGCCAAGGTGGGTGGATCACTTGAGGTCAGGAGTTCAAGACCAGCCTGGCCAACATGGTGAAACCTTGTCTCTCTAAAAAAAAAAAAAAAATTAGCCGAGTGTGGTGGTATGCACCTGTAATACCAGCTACTGGAGAAGCTGAGGCAAGAGAATGGATCGAACCAGGGAGGCAGAGGTTGAAGTGAGCCAAGATCAAGACACTGCACTGCAGCCTGAGTGACAAATCAAGACTGTGTCTCAAACAACAACAAACAAACAAACAAACAAAATAAAACAAACATTGCTTCACTGATAGCGGATGGGCCATTGACTCTTAAGAGGTTTGTGAGACACTGATCTATGGCAAGAAAGGTAAGAAAAAACCCAATCCAACCCAAACCAAACCAAACCAAATCACAGAGGCTTGAAAAGTCAGCTCTCCCAGTTACAGGCTATCTTAGGGCCCTTCTCTGGGCTTTAGTTTTCTCTGGCTTGTTTCTAACATCCTCCAGCAAGTGTGCTTTGAAAACTTGACAATCAGGTACAATATGGAAGGTGGGCCACCGGATGCCTCCAGGGCAGAATCCAGGACCGGTAGTGGGTGGCCTAGTCTCCTGGGGCCTGCACCCTAGAGCCAGTGGTTTCCTGAGTGGGCCGTGCCCCGGGTCACTTCCCGGGGGCGGGTTAGCCTCACTGAGGCGGCCAGGATGCTGTTGGTCTCCTAGGCAACAGTGTGTGACCGAGAAGATGCAGTAAACCAGTGGTGTCATCCTGCGACACCAACCCACCACCCCCCCGCCCCCTCACAGCCGGGGCCCCGGCCGCAGGAAGTGGAATTCTTCTGGGAAAGCGACTGACGTCGCCGGTGGCCGCGCTCCCTGCCCCTGCCCTGGCAGGCGCTGATGCAAGCGCCGCCTCGCGCCTGCAGGCAGGCGGTCCCCGGGGAGCTGGCGCAGCTCTCTCTCCGTCTTGCTCCCTTCCGGCCACCCCCGCCCGGCTTTCCCTGTGAGAAGTCAACAGCTCCTGGGTGGTTTCCCACCGAAAGGCCCAGCGGGGTGTGTGGGGGGAGGGGCTGAAGTGTCTTTGCCCAAACCCGTTCTTCTTTCTCCCCAGCTCCTCCCAGACTGGGTTTGGGAGAATCCCAGCATCTCAACCTGGCCACGTGTCTGGGTCAATATGAAGGGCTCTCGGTGCCTCCAGCCCCTCCCTGGGACAACCTGGGTGGCCTGAGATACCTGGTGCCAGCGATGCCAAGGAAACCGTCCGGACCACTAGGGAACCTTGGGTCTGGATGGGGAGGCGGTGTAGGGCCTCTGGGGAGGAAGTAGTCCAGCCGAGGCTGGTCTCCATCGCCTTCTGCTGGCAAACGGAAGAGTTGCTCTGAAATTCCTCCTGGAACCTCCCAGAGGCTTGGGGAAGGCTGGGGGAGGGGCGCGGCCTGGAATGTTAGAGGCCACCCTTTTCATAAAGCAGACCGGGAAACTGAGGTTCAGAGAGGGCAGGGTACCTGTCCATAGTCCCGCAGCTATTCTAAGACCAAGTCAGGACCAGAATTCGCAGTGAAGCACACTGTACAATTTCCATGCTTTTGTTTTGTTTTTGAGATGGAGTTTCACTCTTGTCGCCCAGTCTGGAGTGCAGTGGCCCAATCTCAGCTCACTGCAACCTCCGCCTCCTGGGTTCAAGCGATTCTCCTGCCTCAGCCTCCCAAGGAGCTGGGACTTCAGGCCTGGGCCACCATGCCCAGTTAATTTTTGTATTTTTAGTAGAGACAGGGTTTCACCATGTTGGCCAGACTGGCCTCGAACTCCTGACCTCAAGTGATCCACCCGCCTCGGCCTCCCAAAGTGCTGGGATTACGCGTGGGAAACACCGCGCCCAGCAACAATCTCCATGCTTTTTAAAGCCAGGAGGCTTCACGTAGTTAACTCCTTCTCTCTGAGGCCTTGTGCTCCTGTGAGCCCTTTCTCCATCACTGCATCCCAGCAGCAGTTCCAAGTGTGGTTCCTGGCCCCAGGCCTTTACCAGGGAGTATGTGAAGTCAAAACTAGTTTCATAACAATACTAAGAGGATATTTGCCTTTTTCACTCTTTCTCTTCTGTGTGCACGGTGGAGTTTTCCAAAGACCTCATGACACGCCACGCTGCAATAGACAGACTGCAGAAGCAGATATGAGAAGCCAGCTGTCTTCTATTAAGGAAGACACTAAAGAGATTTGCAAAAATTGAAACTATGCCATTCTTCTCACTCATTTTTTGTTGTTGTTCATTTTAGAAAATACAGCTATTTTCATAAAACATGTAAATATATAAGGGTTTATTATTTTTAAATGAACTACAAATAATTTAAAAATGGAATTATGAATAATTTTTAAGTAATTATTAAAAATAATTACAGGCCGGACGCAGTGACTCACACCTGTAATCCCAGCACTTTGGGAGGCCGAGGCGGGCAGATCACGAGGTCAGGAGATCGAGACCATCCTGGCTAACATGGTGAAACCCCGTCTCTACTAAAAAAAAAAAAAAAAAAAAAAATTAGCCAGGCAGGGTGGTGGGCGCCTGTAGTCCTAGCTACTCGGGAGGCTGAGGCAGGAGAATGGCGTGAACCCGGGAGGCGGAGCTTGCAGTGAGCCGAGATCGTGCCACTGCACTCCAACCTGGGCAACAGAGCGAGACTCCGTCTCAAAAAAAAAAAAAAAATAATAATAATAATTACAAAATAATTTTTAAATAATTGAATTACAAATAATTAAAATTTTTGTTTGTTTGTTTTCTGAGACAGAGTCTTGCTCTGTCACCCAGGCTGGAGTGCAGTGGCATGATCTCGGCTCACTGCAACCTTCACCTCCCGGGTTCAAGCAATTCTTCTGCCTCAGCCTCCCAAGTAGCTGGGACTACAGGCATGCAGCACCACATCGGCTAATTTTTGTATTTTTAGTAGAGATGGGGTTTCACCATGTTGGCCAGGCTGGTCTCAAATTCCTGACCTCAAGTGATCTGCTTGCCTTGGCCCCCTCAAAGTGCTGGGATTACAGGCGTGAGCCACCGTGCCTGGCCTAAAAATAGTTTTTTTTTTAAGAATGTAAATGGTCCTGAAAAATTTTAGAGCAACTGTTCTATGTAAAGTGCCTCCTCACAATCACTGCAATATCACCCTCTTGTATTTTATTTTATTTTTTTTAAACGGTGTCTCACTCTGTTGCCCAGGTTGGAGTGCAGTCACATGATCTTGGCTTACTGCAACCTCTGCCTCCCAGGTTCCAGCAATTCTCCTGTCTGAGCCCTCCGAGTAGCTGGGAGGCGTGAGCCACCATACACGGCTAATTTTTGTATTTTTAGTGGAGACGAGGTTTCACCATGTTGGCCAGGCTGGTCTCGAACTCCTGACCTCAGGTGATCTACCCCCCTCAGCCTCCCAAAGTGCTGGGTTTACAGGTGTGAGCCACTGCGCATGGCTATACCTTTTTTATTTACTTCACAGTTCTTTTTACTAAAGACATTACTTTGTCTTCCTTCCTCCCTCCTTCCTTCCTTCCTTCCTTCCTTCCTTCCTTCCTTTTTTTTTTCTCTTTTTCTTGAGACCAGGTTTTGCTGTGTTGCCCAGGTAGGTCTTGAGCTCCTGAGCTCAAGCATTCCTCCTGCCTCAGGCTCCCCAAAGTGCTGGCATTACAGGCGTGAGCCACCATACCTGGTTGACCTTGTTTTACTTTGAATGAGCTTATGAATCAACTGGGGATCCTTTTAAAGTGCAGATTCGTATTCCATAGGTCTGAGGCAGGGCTGAGGCTGTATTTCTAACAAATTCTCAAATGATGCTGATGCTGCTGGTCTGGAAACCACACCTGGAGAACCCCTGCTCTAGACTTTCCCATGTCCTTGGAGATGGTGCTTGCCTGAGACCTCTCAGGTGAAAACAAATCAGATGGCTCTTCAATTTCAGCAATGAGGGAGAGAATTTATGCAATTAGGACCAGTTCCTCTCTGCTGGGACTAAGGACCACTGAAGGAAATTGAGGGTCAGTTAATTTGCAAAGTGGGAGAGGTAGAAAAAAATGGTATCAGGCCTTAAGAGAAATTGGAGCTGGCTTTGCAAATATGCATTGAGTTTCAAACAGCAAACAAAAAAGCAATTCCTTTAATAAGCATTAAATTAGATATGCTAGGGGCTGCATTGCTGAAAGTTACTCAGAAGACAGGTGTTATGCTTATTCAGCTATAATTCTGGAATCAGCTAGAATCATCCCCAAATCTCAAAGCATGGTAAATAGTTGAATGGTGGGAATTTCAGTTGTCATAAAAAAACCTTTACTGGGGGTGGGGGCAGGATTTCTAAATATGCCATATAACATTTTTGCAGTGAGGTGGAAAATATATTTAAAACCAAACTCTTTGTAACTGCATCTGCAATCTAAATTGGGGTGGTAGTATAATTTACGTCAGTGGAAAAATGAATCTGTATACTGGGTCTTTCCACTTATGAAAGGGAAGAAAGAAGACTGACATTGTAAAACCTCTGATTTTGGGGTTTCATTGCCAAACAAGGGATTACAAACTCAAAAGCTTCCAACAGCTAGAGTGGTCACACAAACAAGAGAGGCTGGTGGATTCTGGGGAAGAAGAGGGCCAAGCTATCTTGCCTGGCCAAAGGGGGCAGCCGTTACTCAGTTACTCAACTTTAACTTGTTGCCGCCATGTTTGATTGAACACACTGAGTTGTTGACTCTTCCCATTTTTTGAGAGAAGCATGGAACCAGGGTTATATGTGAAATGTATCCTTTTTGTTTTGTTTTGTTTTGTTTTTAAATGTCAAAAAGAAAATCAGGCTGAGCACAGTGGCTCACGTCTATAATCCAAGCACTTTGGGAGGCCAAAATGGGTGCGTGGATTGCTTGAGCCCAGGCGTTCAAGACAAGACAACCAGCAATATAGGGAGACTCCCATCTTTCCAGAAAAAAAAGAAGGCCGGGCGTGGTGGCTGACGCCTGTAATCCCAGCACTTTGAGAGGCTGAGGCGGGTGGATCACCTGAGGTCAGGAGTTCAAGACAAGCCTGGTAAACTTGGTGAAACCCCATCTCTGCTACAAATATAAAAATTAGCCAGGTGCGATGGCAGGTGTCTGTAATCCCAGCTACTCAGGAGGCTGAGGCAGGAGGATTGCTTGAACCTGGGAGGTGGAGGTTTCAGTGAGCCGAGATTGTGCCATTGCACTCCAGCCTGGGTGACAGAGTGAGACTCGGTCTCAATAAAAAAGAGAAAGAAGGGAGGGAGGGAGGGACGAAGGAAGGAAGGAAGGAGAGAGAAAGGGAGAAAGAAAGAAAGAAAGAAACAGAAAGAAGGAAAGAGAAAGAGAGAAAGAAAGAAGAGAGAGAGAAAGAAGAGAGAGAGAGGGAGGGAGGGAAGGAAGGGAAGGGAAGGGAAGGGAAGGGAAATGAAGGGAAAGAGAAAAGAGAAGAGAGGCCAGGTGTGGGGACTCATGCCTATAATCCCAGCACTTTGGGACACTGCGGCAGGCGGATCACCTGAGAATTCCAGCCTGACAAACATAGTGAAACCCTGTTTCTACTGAAAATACAAAAATAAAATTAGCCAGGCATGGTGGAGCATGCCTGTAGTCCCAGCTACGTGGGAGGCTGACGCAGGATAATTGCTTGAACCAGGGAGGTGGAGGTTGCAGTGAGCAGAAGTCTTGCCAATGTACTCCAGCCTGGGCGACAGAGCAAGACTCCATCAAAAAAAGGAAGGAAGGGAGGGAGGGAGGGAGGGAGGAAGGAAGGAAGGAAGGAGAAACACACACACACAAACTTTGTGCTGGGACAAACAAAGCCAATCTCCCAAGTTCTGAGCTCAAAGGGTAAGAACGAGATTAGGTGAGCCTTTCTTTAGCTAAGCACTGAGCTCTGATGTTCTCCAAGGCATACCATTCCTAAGGAGAGTGTAGGAAAGTCAAATGCTTT